AAATTAAAATTACAAAAATTTTTTATTAATAAATATTTATGTAAGTAGATAATAATAAATAATAAATAGTAATTACCTGATAATGTAATTCTAATCGACGCATTATTTCTTTAGCCAGAGATAGCAATGCATTGTATTTGGTAGTGAGTTGAGTTATTGCATTAGAAATTCTCGTGTCGGCACATGTTTCCAACAACATCTGAGCTTTCATATTCAAGCGGTCTAGCTCCTTTTGCCAATCAAACAATGTTTGCAAATGAATCTGGAATTGTTCAAGAACATTTTTCTTCTCTTCCAGACTATCTTGCAATTTATTAAACGTTTGAACTAGCTGTTCAGTTTGCGTAAGCCATTCTGTAGCTTCGGAGAACTGATCCTCGTATTCAGTCCACTTCACTATGCCGACTTCGAGCAAAGTTTTTGTGTTATTCAGCGAGTCTCTATTATAAATATGAATATAAAAAATTATAATACATATATAAAATATATTATATAAGTAAATATTATAAAAATACAAAATTATAAAATTTAATATTATTATATCCTTTTGTACTTAAAAAATTAAGTTTATTTATTTTACTTACACATAATTATCATATTCTTCTTGCAATAGCGCCACTTCTTCTTCGATTATTTCTTTGTCTTCATCATCTGCGATCTGACAGGCGGCGTTACCTTGTTCCAAAGCTTTCTCCAGCTTCTTCTGACCTTCAGGTAATTCACTCTGTAAAACTTTAAGTTGTGTGATTTTGCTGGCCAAAGATTCCTTATCTCCCGTAGGCTCCGAGCACTTGCTGAGTCTCTCTTTGGCTGCTCGTATCCATTGAACAAATTCATTACCACTATCGATGAAGGCCTGATGTTGTTCGACAGTCTCCTTTTGCTTCGCATATAATTCTTGAGCTTGTTTGCTCAGAGTCTCATATTTAATCGAGATCTCCGTGGCCGGTGTCGCTTGTTGCAAGTCTTCGGCCTTTGTGGTGACTGATTGAATCATTGGCTCAAATGCCACAATATCTTGTACGATGCTGTTAGTTTGTCGCAAGTTCGCCTTTCTTTCTCCAATTGCCAAAGAGCTCAATCCAACTAAGCCTTTTCGAGCTTTGGAAACTTTTTGCTCGCACACTTGCTGCAGCTTAGCCTCGCGATCACTAATCCACTGCTGCAGCTGAGAATACGACGAACTGTAATCCGCCCATTGCAACAAACTCGTCTCGAGATGTACTTTTGTGGTTGAGATCTTTTTTACCAGGCGCTCCCAATCGTTTTGAATCTCTTTCAACTGAGCGTTGATTTCCTCACGACCATCTGATCGCGTGTTTCTCATGACTTTCTCGCCGCAATTTACAGTGAGATGTATCAGGTTCTGGCCTTCCTCGCGTTTTCTTAATAATTCCTGAATTTTATCAAGTCTATTCTGTAATTCTTCGCGACTGCTACTCGAGGCAGCTTCTGTTCCTTGACGTATAATTTGCTTGGCATTCTCGATCCAGTCACGGGCTTTCTCAAGATTGCTCTCATATTCTTGATGTTGACTCAGATTGGTCTCAACTTTATTTAATACATCTTTTGCGAGATTCACTTGCACCTGATAACGTGAATTCAAATGTCGCAGCTGGTTGTTGACGTAAGTATCCAAATGAGACGAAAGTAGACCGGCAGCCGTTTTGTTGAATTTATCAATCTGCTCTTGGCCCTGTATTAAGTTATCGAGCAGTTCCCTTACTTCTTTTACCTGTTTCTCCTTTTCTTTCAGATTTGGCAAAAGAGCATTTTTTTGAGCTTTGATGAGAATGTCAAACTGTTGCAACCAGTCGCTGAGTCTCTCGTATTCATCTTTATAGTCGCGCCATTGACTCACAGTAGTCTCCAATTGGTTCTTCTGTTGCTGAATTTCTGCAATAGAATATACGAATTTGTTTGTCAATACATTTAAAATTGCAATTATTTCTTTTTGTAGGTTAAAAATGATTATTGATTACTCGCGATTATTTCAATATTTGTTTTGTATTCTAAATTATCAACATTGATCTCTTAATAAACATTATTTGAATAACTCTTACCTTTGAACAATCCTTCGAAACTTTCTGTGAGTGCTCGTATTTCGTTTTTGATAACTTCTTGTCCGATGGGACTAGTACTGGCACAAACAACATTTCCAGTATGCTGCAAATGTTCCACCAACAATTCACCTTGAGCTTTCTTATTCAACAAACTCTCGAGCGGTACCACTGCACTCTCGATCGCTAGTTTATCGCTAAGTGATCTCTGTTTCATAGATGGTATTTTCTCGCGAGCCCGGCTAAGCCAACCGATGAGATCATCGTGAGCTTCTTTGTAAAGGCGGTGATCTTTATACTGTTCCTCTCGTTCGGCCAATAAAGATTTAATCTTCTCAAAAAGTTCGTCGAACCTGTTCAGTATATCTTGAGCTTGCGAGGCAGCTAATCCTTGCTGACCACTCGCAATCATCTCAGCGACTTTGCATTTGAGACTATCAACCTCGATATTCTCGCAACGAACCTTCTCCTCGAGTACTTTGATTCGCTCCAGTTGATTTCTTTTTTCCGACATCGTTGTTTGAAACTGTGAAATCTCATCGATCGATTTCTGCATGTATTCCACCGTCTTTTTGATAGATTGTATTTGTTCCAATAAACCGGCCCATTTGTTTATTGAATCGTCCAAGTTTGTTTTGGTTTCTAGCATCTTTGACGCCAAGGCGCTCCACTGTTCCTGAAGTTTCGCTAAAGCATCATTAATAGTTTGATGGCCAGCCGGAGCTGTATTCGCTAGAACAGCCTGGGCTAGTTCAACAATACCTTGAACTTTTGCAAAACCGTCCTCTTTATATAATAATAGATCTTGCACGATATCCATTTTTTGCTCCAAATCTTTCTGCGAAGATGCGCTTAAGTCGGAGCAGTACGCCAGTTTATTTTTTATATCTTCCAACCATGTGGTGCATTCTGCCAATTGATTATCGAAATCTTGATGCGTAGTAACATACTGATGCCAACGATTATTGAGCTCTTTGACTTTGCTAGAAATCTGTTGATATTTGATACTCAAATCCGATATGTAAGAAGTGCGAGAAGTAACAATCTTATGCAGTTGCTGAGCTCGCTCAGCAACGGCGTCAATCTCTAGTTCTTTAGCGCGAACTTCACCTTGAAGGGTGCGTAATTTTTCGAGCTGAGTCTTTTTCTCTGCCAAAGTGGACTTGAGATCGACGGCATGTAACTTTGTATCAGTATCTCTCATCCATGCTAAACATCGTTCTTTTGATATCTCATATTCGCTCCATTGTTGAAGTTTGTTCTCCAAAGACTCAATAGTAGATTTAACCGCTGAGATTAAGCCTTCCCATTCTTGTTGCGAAGAATCAATCTGCGAGCGGATGTTTATCTGTCCTGATTCCAGAGTACCGGGTATTACTTTTTCGCCCAGAGACTTGATTTGCTGCACTCGCGATTCGTCTTCCGGCAGACTGTGCAATAGATTCTTTAGGCGATCCAAGTTTGTGTGCAAGGATACTCTCTCTAGTTCCACGTCACCCCAAAGACTCACGGCATTGTGCGTGGCATCCAGCCATTCATGCGTATCTAAAACAGCCTTGCTATACTGTTGATGATCGCTCACTATACCTTCGTACCTTTCTACGAATTTCGTCGCGCGTTTTAGTAATATATTGTATCTATTCGTTAAATTATTCAGCGTTTGATCGATCTTATCGGTACGATCAGGCAAATTGTCTGCTTTATCTCGGAGATTCAATAGATCTTGCTGATGAGTTTGAGCATCATGCAAGATGGTGCGATAGATCTGCAACTGGGCACGTTTTTCGTCCAGAGTAGTTTTTAGTTCAATTTCTGGCTTCAATTGAGCTTCTGTATTTTTTAACCAGTTCTCGAAGGTCTCGCTGCATTCGTCGAAACCGGACCATCGCGAGATCTTCGCCTGTAACTCACGTTCGGTCAAAGCGATACTGTCATAAAGCTCTTCGAAGGCTTGCTGGAGATCTAATAATTGCTGACGAATAATCTCTCGGCCCTCTGTGCCGGTCATAGGATACAATCGTTCACCAGCCTCGACAGTGCTGTTTATCAAGAGAGTAGACGAGGACTGACGAGCCAAAAGTTCTTTTAAGGTTTCCACATTTGAAATCAGCTTTTGACGAGTACCACTGACGTTTTCCTTGGAGGACTGATAACGCACTCTTGCGTTCGCTAACCATTCGGAGCACTGCTTATAACGATCTAAATAGCTAGCGTGATCAACTACTGCTTGTTCACATTTTTTTACCAGTTCCTGAAACAGAATTATATAAAGATTTTTATTGCGAGAAAAGATATTTCCTAACATAACACATTTTGTGATGTTATTAATTATATTGATAACACAAAAAAAAATTAATTAGGAAATACTAATTTTATTTAATTTTATTTATTATAAATAAATTAAAAATAAATTTATAATAATTTTGATACAAAGTTTTGATTTGCTACATTAAATACGCTAAAGCAATGGTTAATAATTAAATTTTTTTCTTTTATTGTATAATATAAAAAATAAATAAAGCTTTATTTGTAATTTTTTTCTATTTTGATAGTATTTGTCTTATGAAAATATCTTTATACAGTTATACTACCTTAGCTGTCGCCTGAATTGATTGGAAACGTGATGTGACTTGTTGAATGCTGACAGAAAATCGAGTCTCGCCACTGATCTGCATCAATTCCGACGAATCGTCACTCATTTTATCGAATTCAGCCTCATTTTGCCGGAGATTTACAATCAGTGACTGAAAAAAATCATATTTATATTTAACTGTTTTTAAGTGAGATTTTAGTTAAAGAGCTGTTCCGCATAATTCATATGCGAAATAAGGAAGTAGAAAATTCTCTCTTCTTACGTGCAGAAGCCTGTTTGAGTAATGTGGTTAGATTATTATTACTTAAGTGTTAAACGTGAAGAAGTATGCACTAACAATAAGTATAAAAAGTAGAGTTTAATATTCCATCCCGATGTAATCAGACTCGTTTGTTCGTCTCGTTGTAAATTTCAGCGTCAAAGAAGCTCTCCATTCCGTGAAGCAAAACAGATTTTACTGCAAATTTTGAAGCTGAAAGCGCAATATTTACTGAACATAAATAGATAGCCGCCAAAAGTATAACAAAAATTCATCTAGCCGATGCATAAATAATTGTTTAGTATTATGAGTGCTTAAAACAACATTAATGTTTATATGGCGAGAGAAAATAATATAGCTATTCATATTTTTAATCAGATTTAATATTGATGAAAAACACTGATTTTATTTAATAAAATGGCATACGTATTGCCGTATCTCATATTACTCTAATCAGATATATCGTTTAATGCTAATAAAAAACAAGGTGAAGCGTTGGTATCTCCCACCTGCTCTGACAAAAGCTATAAAAGCTATACAAGCTGAAAGATTACATAAGAAAACAGCAATTGTATCGAAGAGACTCCTCGTAAAGCCGTTGCAATCATCCGCCTCTCTCGCAATCTTTTCTTGTTACAAAATGATATTTGCAATTTGCATATCACTCTCTTACTTGTTCGAGATGGTCACCAAGCGCAACCAGTTCTGTCACGTCCATGTTCCGCGAATCGGCGACCTTCTGTAGTTCCTAGGAAATTTTATTACACATAATCATTGTGCGTGAGAGATAATTATGCTCTACGATTGGAGATAAAAGTTTGCGTAGATGGGGGCTTTCTCCTCTCTTTTTCGTCGATTTAAAAGTACTTGCACGATCTATCGTATGAGACGTAATAAAGAAGGAAAAAACAATTAATATTACAAAATTTATGTTACATTCATGTGTATGAAAAATGTGTCAATGCGTGTAAAGAAAACAGCTACATCTAATCGTAATTAAAACTGGGTACTTTAAATGTGCACACCTCAAATTGTGTTACTATTTCATGTGGGAAAATTTTGTGATAAGGGATAAACACAAAGCGGTCTTTAAATAATCGATATTCGTTAAATAGGACATTTATCAAATTTATATACGTAAAGCCAAAAGAAAACCGCATTTCTATAATGCAACTTGTTGTAATAATTTTGAACTTACTTGATATTTTTCAAGTTGCTCCTGTTTCTCTTCAAGCGTGTTCTTCAGACAATAGTTCTTCAATGATGTCTCGGCATCAGTAAGCCAAGCAAGCAAACGTTCTAATGAATTTTCGTATTCACTCCATTGCTGTATTCTTTCTTCGATGCAACGTACCACGTCATTTACAGCTGTAGTGAATTTCTTATTTTCGAATCTAGAAACAAATCATCCAACGTTCATTTATGTGGTTGACAATGAAATTGTTTAATTTCTAAATACTCATTTTTTTAATAGATAAAATAATTTTGTATTATTTTCTTTTTTAAAATATTTACCTAAGATTCGCTAAATCTCTTTCCATAGATTCTTGCGAGCGAGGTGGCAAAGTATGCGCACTCTGCGCCACATGTTCTTCAAGGACATTCAGTTTTATTTCACCTTCGCTTTGACTGTCCTGTATCTCTATAACTTTAGCTAATCTAGCTTGCAGAGCAGTTTTGTTTCCTGTATAATCACTGTAATTTGCTAAACGTTCCCATTGACGTTTCTGGTAATCTTGATAAGCTTTCTGAAGATCGTGGAACTGCTGGAAAATATCGAGTAATGCTTCCAAGCTCGATATTCCTTTCTGAGATGTATCCACTAACTTTTCGTATCTCTTCGAAACAGAAACGACTTTTTCATGAACGTTCGATGGAACTTGAGTAACTTGAACCAAAGCGTTGGCTTTTTCGGAAATGCCTTCGATGAGACGTTTATGAGCCAAGATTTCTTGATGTAATGTCTAAAATAAAATTTCCAAGATAATATGATTAATGGTTTTCATATTGTGTTTTTTATATATTCTCAGATAATAATATAAAATTAATCAGATAATAATATAATACTAAAAAGATATATAAGGACCTTCAATTTGAGTAGTTTTGATCTTATTTCTGGCAAGGAGGACCACACCATCGAGGAATCTTGTTTAACTGCACGTTCCATCGTGTCTAACCAAGTTAGAATCTGTTGTAGAGTCTCTTGATAACTGGACCATTGTAAAGATTGAGCATCTTGCTTTTTCTGTTGCTCTGTGATGCCTTCTGCCAAACGATCCCATCTTTCGCGAGCGTTTCGCAATTCATGTCTGATTACTTCACGCCCTTGAGCGGAAGTGTCTGGAAGAATCCTTTCACCAAGAGACGTTAAGCTAGTTAAACGATGTTCAGCTTGCTCTTTTTCGGCTAGCAAAACTTGTAAACGCGAGTTCTTCGCTTCGAGATCTCCACCAATCTCATCTTCCTTCAAAATAGCTAAATTTTTTTCGAGAGGTGTAAGCCAAACATCAATAGCCTTCAATTTTTCTTCATAAGCACGATGATCATCTACGATGCTTTGGCAACGGTTTATTACTTCCTTACTGAGCACGTGCAACAGCTGGTATCTAAACATTTAATTTGAGCTTAATTAATTGTATTGTTACTTTTATTATATCTTTATTTACAAATTGTTAATTATTTACTTGTTTAAATGTTCACATACGACTACAATAAAATTATGCGTTTTAAAAAAATATATTTTATTTTTAAATTTTTGTCTTTACTTTGTGAGATTGAATTTTTTCAATTTTTATTTGCTATGTAACTATTAAGATTTTATTACATACACGTATGCAAGGATGATAAATAAAAAGATAGTTCTCTTGTTGGAAATAATTCGACATACCTGTTGCTAACTTGAGAAATTAATGGCTTGATGCGTTCAATACCACTCGCGTGCAGTAAACTATGTGACTTGTCCACGAATTCATCTATCTCCCGCTCTTGTTGCGCGATAATCTCGCGTTTCTCTTTAAACGCGCGAAGTCGTGCTTCTTTATCTTTTAACGTAGGCTGCAACTGTTGATCTCGGAATGCTGCCTCCATAGAACGGAACCACTTTGTGTGAGCTTCCAGCTGATCCTCAAAGTTCTGCCATCTTTTCAAAGCTGCTTTCTGTCGCTCCTCTACAGATTCTGAAAAGCAAAATTTTCTAATGAAATGATTACGATAAACGGAAGTAATCAATTAAATAACTTTATACAGGTATGATTCTTCTACATAATTTTGTAATCACAAAGAATTTGTAATATATGTTATATATTTGAAATATATTACCAATTTCATTCAGGAATTGGCGCAGATTATTTTCCAAGGTTATCACTTCCTTGTTGATAACTTCTCGACCTTTCGGCGCGGTACTATTAGCCACAGCTACACTGAATTCCTTTAACTTGGTGAGATGTTCTGCTCCCTGTGCCTGGCCATCTTTTAACAACGTTAAGCTTGTTAATCTGCGAGATATTTCAGATCGTTCACCCGTTATATCATTGCATTCTGCTAGCTTCTCTCGTTCTCCATTTAACCAATCGGAGAAGCATTTACATTGAAGATTGAAACGATGATGCTTTTCGCAACAATCCTCTAAATTCTCTAACAAATCTCGAGACTTGGCGACGATATTCTGAAAGAGCTGTTTTATGGATTGCAAATAGACATTCAGAGAAGTGTCCTTCGTCTGATCGACCAATTGTTGCGCTTTGTCGCAAACCGATTCGACCAATGTCTGATGTGACATGATCTCCTGGTGCATGATCTTGTGATTTTGCAATTGTGCGCGCTTTTCCTCCAGCGATGATTTCAATTCTGTGTGCTGATGCATTGCGCGCTCGACGTCTCGCAGCCAAGTCGTTAATTGCTCTTGAGACAACGAAAACTCAGCGAACTGCATTAGACATTGATCTAATTTCTGCATCGAACTTTGCAAATCCTCGGAAAATCCGTCCCACATGCTGCGTAAATTTCTCAATTGTTGTCTGATTATCTCTCTACCATCCGGTGAAGTGTGCACATAAAGTTTCTCACCGAGATCGATGACAGATTCGAAACGAGCATTCTCGCGAGTTCGAACGTCACCGAGATCCCTGATATGCTTCTGTCTGCTTTGTAACACCGCCAAATCGCCAACAATCTCGCTATGTTTCTTCAACTCGTCCTGAACTTCATTGATCCAATTCAAGAATTGATTATACTTTTCGTTGAACAGATTGTGCTCCTTTACGTATTGCTCATATCTCGCTACAACTTCTTTTGCTTGATTCCTAATTGCTTGATATCTAGTAGCTTGACGAGATACTTTAGTAACCAAGTCGGATTCCGCTTCTACGCCTTGACTTTTCTCAACCACCGCGTTAAACTCCGTGCCCTTTGCTATGATAGTCTCTTCGAGGGATTTCAATTTCTGTAAGTGCGCGCGCTTAGTTTCCTCAGTGCTTTTCAAGCTTTGATCTTTCACCTGCATTTCGATTTGTTTAAGCCAAGATTCTAGAGCCTCGACTACTCTTTCAAATTCGGACCATTGGTTGAATAGATGATTCAATTTATCTCTGCTTGAAGCGCATCGTTGGAGGAAATCCTCCCAAACTTTTTTCTGCTGTTCAAAACCTCTCAATAATGTGAGGTGACCAGCTATCGAGGTTTGCTCCAAAATAATATTTAATTGCTGATTGCAATCGGCTATAATTCTATCGCCCTCTGGTTTTTGTTGCAATACGTTTTCGATTAAAACAATCTTGGATTTAGCTGCATCTCGATCTATTGAGAGATCCTCACTGATGGGCGCCGCTTCGTTTACCATTGTGTTAATCCAGTCTCGCGTCTTCTCGAACGTCTGAAGATAGGCCTCGTGATTTGCAACGTACTTTTCCATTATGCCGATTCTATCATCTACGTCTTCCGATAGCTTTTCATGCGCTTCAATCACGCTATTGAGCATCTCGCTAGCCTCGTCATCTGGTGCTGCTCCGAGCCTATCTTGAAGTTGTTCCAAGATATTTCGATGAACTCCTACATCTTGTGCAATAGCTTTATACAAATGTAAGGCGAGTTTCTTTTCTTGAAGCGACGGTAGCAGATCTAGCTTGTCACCTAATTTCTTCCGTGCCTCAACTAACCACTGCTTTACTTGGGAATACTTGTCCTCGAACGAGGATCGATGCATCATATCGCTCTCGATTTTCTTATAAATTACGTTTGTGCGATCGGCCAAGGCTTCCACCCGACTGCGCAAATTTCTCAGCTCACTTCTGATGAGTTCCCTGTGATCTGGTGTTATTCTCGCGAAAAGTGTTTCACCCGCTTCCGCTGTTCGATTTAAAATTGCTTGTCCAGTTTCGCGTTTCTCCCCAAACGCTTTTAATTCTTTCAGGCGAGACTGATAGAAGGTCATTGGCTTCGGACCGCTGATCTCGTCAAAAGTTTTCAATTTCTGCTCTGCGTTTAGTAACCACGATTCCAGCTCCTTTACATTAGCAGCATATTGGCCTTTAATTTGTTTGAGTTCTCTGAGTCTGTCTAAATGTTGAATCAAAAATTTAAGGACCGAATGATAACGCGTATTCAAATGTCCGACGTATTGAGCCACGCGAGATTCTGGACTAACTTTGGTTATCTCCTCTCCGAGTGCGATCAGATCCTTCATCTCGTTTTCATAATTCTCGACTTTTTCCTTAAGTTGTATTATTTCGGCAATCTTTTCGTCGATCTCGTTTGGATTTAGAAGCATCGTAGCCTCCATTCTGATTTTATTCTCGTTCTCTTTGAGCCAGGAAATTACGTTTTCTGATGTAAATTCATATCGTTGCCACAAAGCAATATTTTCTTGCAATACGGATTTGATTTTGCCATAGCTGACTTTCAAAGACTCCAGATCGGCAGTAACTTTATCGCGTTCGTCTCTAAGAGCAGAAATGGTCTCGCTGCTCTCGACAGTGCTCAGAAGTGTCAATGAATTATCCGTATCCACTTTTCGAGTCTCGCAATCAGCAATACCGTCTTCCACATCGATCAACGAGGCCATCTTTACCTCAAGATTGTAACGATCACTACTCTGTTCGGGTTCGCACCAGGCTACTTTTTCCTTATGAGTTGCTACTAAGCGTTGCAGAGCGCCAAACTTTTCGTGATAGAGTTTTGTCAAAAAAGCTACCAACGTTGCGTTAACTTTGTCAGCGTGACTGGTTACGCCGTCTTTACGGAGTTGCAACGCTTGCAATTCTTTTGGTAAGCTAGACTTCGATACAGTTGGATATTCTGATACCATATCTGTTAATTTCTCGTCAAGTTCTGAAAGTGTGTAATCGCATTTCTTCAGTTCGGTCTTCAATTCTTGACATTTATTGATTCTATACAAAATCTTAGTATTCTCGCCAGTTAAATCATCACACTTGATTATCTCTTCGCGAATCTTTGATATCGTATCACTGCATTTCTTCAACTCCTGCTTGATACCTTTTTCTTTCTCGTTGAAAGTTGAGGTGAACGACGCGAGCTTATTTGCAGCCTGTTTAACAACGTTAAATTGATCGTCCAATAAATCATTAAGAGATTTCAAAGTTGGTATGCTCGCGTCATCGTTCAGTTTGACGAGTTGTTCGCTCTTCGTGGCGATACCTTGACGAAGTTGTTGATATACTGGTAATTCCTCGCGATATTTAATCAATAACGCTTGTCCGTTCTCAGCGTCGAGTAAACGATCACAAGCCGCGGTAAGCGCTTCATTCGTGTCGCTGAGCCACTTTGTAAGTTCGTATTTTGCTTCTTCGATCTGCTTCCAGATGATAACCTGTGTTTCGTACGCTTGAGTCCGATCGATCACCTTAACATTAATCTCGTGATATTTTTTTCGTATATTGGATAAATCCGATTCGATTAGACTTGTCTTGAAATTTGGCATTAACGATGTCTCTTTCGCTAATTGTTGCGCCTTGCCATCCATTTTGTCCAGAAATATTTTACCCTTCTTTAAAATCTCTGAAGCTCTCTTATGTTTTTCCAGAGCAACGTTTGCCTGGGTGATATCAGTTGACACATCTTTGACCGACTGACAAAGGTTCTTCGCTTCGTCGATGAACTTGTTCAACTTCTCCTTGGCTTCCTGATACTGTTTCCAATCGGCATCCATTTCAGCATATTTCCTTCTCTGCTCACGCAGAAGTTCATTAACCTTTTCCCAATTTCCATCCACTGAAGAAACCACTACCTGAATATTAGTTATCGCTCGTTGATCCTCCTTCATCAAGTTGTCACCTTCTTGATGAAGACTTTCTTTTTCCGGTTCTCGTCTCTGATGATCCTCGATCAAATCGTCTATCTTTTCAATTGCCGGCGTGAGTTTTTCGCAAGTATCAACGGTATATGTGATGTTTTGCAGGCTCGTCTGAGTGTTGACGATTTCTTCCGTAATTTTTTGTTGTAATTTTCTAAAGTTATCCCATTTAGCATCGAGATTCTCCAACTTGTTTCTCTTGGCAGATAATTCTGTCTTCAAAGCTGTGGCCTTGGACTCAAGATCATTCAGTAAGGAAGTTGCAGTAATTGGTCTCTCTTGCTTGTCACGAACATGTATTCCCAGAGTGCTATCCATTAGCGGGACAAGTTCCTTCCAAGTGTTGATTTTTGTATGTACAACTTGAAGTTCCGAAGAAAGTCTATCGAGATCGGCGATAGTTGGTTTTCTGGCTTCAGATTCGTATTTACAATGATTTAATTGCGCATTGGCGTCATTATGCCAGCTCAAAAGTTCGATCCATTTTTCTAAGCCTTTTTTCTTTTCTCTTAAGTCATCTTCGAGCGCCTTGTATTTCTTCGCTAATGACGTGTAAGTTTCATTCAATGCGGCGGCTTCCAACATAGAACCTCGCGATGACAGTTGTTTTACTTCGTTGTAAATCGCTGTAAATGCTGGTTGTTTTTCCGAATGTTCTTGAAGATAAGCATGCATTGTTTGCAAATTAGTATCAACATTGCCCACATTTACGTCTCCGATCTCATTGATGTTAGATCTCAATCTTGTCATCCAGTTTTCGAAGTCGGTGATCTTCATCTGGAATTCTTGTCTAGCTAACAACGAGTCAGAGACGCGATTAATGTAATGTCGAACTGTGTCTGCGAGTTTGCTTACTCTAATCTTCATTTCAGCAACGCGACCTTTCAATGCGGAGGCGCCGTCTAGCGATAAACCATGGCTAATATGATCGGAAACTTGAGTCAGTGATATCAATTGAGCCTGATGATCGGATATGCTCTTGTTGAATTCTTTCAAATGTGCCAATTCCTTTTCCAACTTTGCGGCTTCGGGTGTTTGAACATTGGGTTCTTTAAGAGCTTCCCTTTCACTATTCTGCAACCATTCATTAAACTCTTTTGCTTCTGATTCGAAGTTGTTCCATGATGAGACTAATTTATCAAGTTTGGTCGTCGTTTGTACCGCCACGTCATGAACTGCGTTCCACCGTGTATAAACAGCGTCGACTTCATCAGGTGCCACTGTTTTTCCAGTTATCTGCTGACTAATCGTTGACAAACTCTGGACCTTTGGAAGATATTGTTGACATTGAACTTGAAAAGCCTTTGCCGATCCTAACATTTGCGTAGCTTGAGCCAAAGTAGTAGGCCTGCTGCCCATAGTAGCTACTTTTGACTCCGCTTGTTCAATCCAAGGTTTTATCTTCTGAATGCCTTCTTCGTACTCTCTCCATGTTGCAAGATTTTGTGTAGCCAATTCACGTTGCGTTACTATGCTCTTATTCAACGATTCAACTGCCTTATGAAGATTCTCAATGTCGCCACGAAGTTGTTTTGCCGGTGTGTCATCTTCTATATATGTATAAAAAATAAACATTTTTGTATTAGAATATTTTTAGCACAGTTGTTACACTATATTTAATTAAATTTAAATCTGTCAAATGTATTAGATTAGAACTCGGCATTTTTTAGATTCACACAATTTTCGACTCGGTTCCGCTTTTACATTTAAATTACAATTTTATGTTTTTTACTAATAACTAATTATTTTATTAAATAAATCTTTATAAAATAATAAAAAAATATATATAATGTACTCAT